AAGAATATTTCTGTTATACATTCTTCCTTGTCCTACGACTTACTTGTAATCTGTAATATACTTTTGAAAAATCAAAAATTCATTGAGCCATAAACAGCTCTTGATCTGTTGTCATTATCGAGAGTCGGGAGGGGTGGACTCCCAATCTTATGACCACTGTGACTGACAATCACAATAGCAGGCTTTGTATTTGTTATGGATCAGCCCACTGCCTGCTGTCAATAACAAGAGCAGCAGATCTAATGGGGCACTAGTGTTTCTCAATCCCCTTCTGTCTCTACCCACCCAGCTACAAAACCCTTTAGCTACTGCCATGTCTGTGACACCTGCAGTGACAGGAAGAACCTCGACTGTACTGAGGATGGAGTGTCTACTTAGCCACTCTGGTCACAATGCACCTCCGCACACAGTGTTCGCCCCAGTTTTGTTTACCTGTTTATGACAAGCACATGAATCTGTTGAATGCATTAAAATGTATTCTGCGGAGACAAAGCAGAATTCTAGGCACCCTTTAAGAATTCCTCGGTGTATATTATATAGAACTGCATTTTTGTTAATAGAATACTTTTATTTTTTTTCTTATCCTTTGTTGGCTCTTAGTGCTGTTGATCACCTGCAGCCCTATTCTGTCGACATACATGCAGCTCAGTGATGGGATGGCATAGCATTTCTCTGAGCGGGTTTCCTGAAGGTGACAACAGTGGCCATGTCTGCTTAAACTGGTATTTTATTTTCTTCTTAAATCAGCTGGAGGCTGGTTTTTCAATTGTCCCATGGCTGTGCTGATTGATGCATATTCTCTTTCTACCACCAAGACCTATAGAGTTCTGTATGGGTCTTTGTTATGTGCATGCTCTGTACTCTGGAGCACAGAGTATGTGCAGCCACTCAAAGTACCAGCCAACAGCCAGCATGAAAGGGACACAGGAGAAGCTGCAACAAGAAGAAGCAGAGGCATAGCTTTTCCTCTGTGCCTCTCTCTCATGCTAGCTGTGTGTGCAGTGCTCTGAACAGCTTCACATAGACTCAGAGTACAGATTTGGAGTACAGTATACACATAATGAAGACTCAATCATTTCCATAGATCCTGTTGGCCACAGAGAGAGAATGGGCACCAAGCGGCATAGGTAGGGGACAATTTAAAATCAAAGCTTAGAGGAGGAAATAATAATTGAAAAAAATCAAATATACAGTATGTAGGAAAAATTACATTAATACCATTTTAAGGCGTGTTAAAACAGCTACCTGTGGTGCCAATCTGAAGTACGCGTGACATGGTGTCAACGCAGGGGCACAATGGAAGGTGGGGAGAGAATGTTTTTATCCTATAAAAGGAAGCGTCTGAGCAAGAATCTTCATGCCAGGGCGACCTCTGTCTCATATACAGTTGTCACCACTGGACGGTTTACCCTTACTTCTTTTTTCTTGTAATAGCTGTAAAATTGTGGTTATCTCATCACTTTCTGTCTCGGTAACAACAGTCACCACAGCAAACATGAAAAGGTAAATTTACATACAGGGATGCAGACAGCAATAATAATTGATAAGGCTTCTAAAGCTTCCCTACACAATTCAAAACTAGAAAACCATACACTTTAATCACATAACGGCTGGTTCCACGCCTCTGGCTCTGCCAGTGATGTTTGTGTCGGCACTATGTAGTCACTGTTGGCTGGTGCATTGGACTGCTGTCTGGAAGGAATGATTTGGTGCCCAGCAATGACTAGGGCAAACATACACAGTTGAATGTTTTCAAACTAAAACAGTTTGCCACCATGTTGCCAAGGGCACAATTGCAGACAGCACTTTTGACCAAAAAAATGGAAATCACACATGTCCAAACTATTCAGACTTGTAGCTGCTGGCTGCTCAGCAGCTGAATTCACGAGTCCCACTGCCAGTCTGATAAATTTCTGTCTAGAGTGCAGAAAAAAGCGGTTTCTTTTTAAAAAATAAAGCAATAAACCTTTTTACACTTAGTACTCATTCAATTTATTTTTTAATAGCCTCAAAGATATATTACTCAGTTTGAAATGTAGGTGTATGAGCAGAATTCAAATTCAGTGCTTTAGTAAAATATTGTCTTCATTAGGCCTACTTACGACTAGTCAAGACATGAAAATCCAAAAGCCACAAATGCTGTTATACTTGGCTGCTTGTTCTTTTTGAATCCAAATAGGATGACATGTACATTTTATTTTTTATATTGCTGTGTGAAGGGTGTTTGCCATGAAAGAGAATGTATGGATGAAGAAATTCTTTTTAGGACTCCAGGGTTTCATACTAGTTCTGGGGAGCATTCTTTAAAAGGAGACAAAGAATATCAGCTCCCAACTCTAATTATTGAAATGGCCACACAACATACCCAAATTACTGGAAAATATAAACCTTCCTGTAAGAACAATAGGATTTTTACATGCCATATAATATGTTTCTTGGAGCATATTAAGAAACACTGGATGAAGTATTATGGAAAATTGGTTTACTCTGCTGCCTTTCAGAGATTTAACACTGGCAAACCGCATGGTAAAGACAGTCCAGTATAACCTCTGCCACTCCAAGAATGCCTCAATTTTGGAGCAAAAAAAAACAGGAGTGGACCAAAAGAACAGGGTAGAGGGACCTGTAATTCTTAAAGTACTCTAAGGAATGGCTGTAAGGTAAGTAAAAAATCCTATTTTCCTAATCGTACATTAAGGGATACAAGATGAATTCAGGTACATTAGGACGGAAACAGTCCAACTGAGGGGTGTGTGACACATCAAACAAAAGGCTAACATGTGCACAAACCCAAAAAGTTAACAGAAGGGGCTCAATAGTCTTACAACTGAATCAGGCAACTGATGCGGAAATGTGCAACTGATGCACTACTCTAACTGGCAAATGCGCAGTCATGCAATACTATACACCAAATTAAATTCTATAATTTCTCACACAAATAGAGCTTTTCTTTTGATCACCACTGGGTTTATTATATAAATGAAAAAAGAATGAAACTGAAAAAACCCCCCAATATTTTCTACTTTGTTATAAACCATCCAAAAAAAAAAAAAAAAAAAATCAAAACATCAAATTGCTTCATACCTTCAGGTCAAAACGTATTCTACTACATGTCTTTTGGTAAAAAAAGAAATCCCAGTAAGAGTATATTAATTGGTTTGTGTGAAAGTTATAGAGTCTACAAACTATGATATATATATAGATTTGAAAATTAATCAACCCTGATCTACTCAATTCTTGAGGCCCTACAATGCCAGGACAGTACAGTTTTAATTTTTGGAAAATTAATTTTAAAAAATTTGCTTTCACATTTTTTTTTTTTTTTTTTTTTTTTACATACTGTCACCTGCGTCATTATATGACTGGTGTGGCGGTGAACAGGGATACTGACTGGTGACAGTTTGTAAAAAAAATAAAAATAAAAACCCCACACTTTTTAAAAAATAATTTATTACATTTTTTTTTAAACTTTTTTTTTTTTTTTTTTTTTTTAAACATTTTTAGCATTTTTGGTAACGTTTTTTTACATCCTGTCATTAGAGTAGCTCAGTGTCACCATAATAATGCTGTACTACTCAAGAGGGGTGATCATGGATTTTTTTTTTTACACTGTTATTGCTTATACAGTGAAGTGAAGAAAGAGTTTCAGAAGTGGAAAGCATATATTCGATTGAACTAATCTCACAGAGTCACCAGAGCAAAGGTTAGAGTATCCCTGGACCTGGGGACAAATCTGTTCACTTAGTTGAACTTGAAAGCCAGGAGGGCCACTTCCGACATCTCCCACCTGCGACAAAGGGTTTAAAACCCCTCAGGGTGAAGAGACCATTCCTTAGGGTCCAATGTTGACATTTGAGGATATCTGCCTGACAATTTTCATGTTCCAGCCATGGAGACAAGGATAGAAGTGCCACCAAAGCTAAAATCAGATCCGCTACCTTTTGAGCCACAAGGCATCTGGTTCCTCCCTGATGGTTGATGTAAGCCACCGCAGTGGCATTATCCCACTAAAGTCTGGTCAGATGACCTTGCAGATGAGAGATCCAGAATTAAAAGGAAAAACAAAATTGGTCTGTGCCCTAGAATACTGAACATTTTAACAAGTCAAAAGATGACAGACAAGAAAATAATAATAACTAGAAATTCCATGATTATGCTATCCCTGGGCCAGTCCCTTATTCCAGAAAGTAGATGCGGACTTTGGATGGAGCCTGAACGAAAACAGCTTTGACTGTCTTTGGAGAAAAGAAAATGAAGGTGTTCTCCTTGGAGTACTATGATCTTTATGAGATGTGAGGTACACTTGCATTTTATTTAAAGCCTAACTCTTGTATAGAATTTGACCCTGATCATTGGGTTTAGAAAACTAAATAATTTAGTCTCAAGAGCAGCTACTGCAATCTGTATGTGAAGTAAATTCCCGGGTGCTCACCTTCAAAGAAATATCCATACAAATCCAAAAACTCTATAGAGGCACTCATGGGTCCTGCAAAAGTGATTTATTTCCACTGCAAGACCCATGAGTGTCTCAACACCTGTTTTGGATTTGTAGAAATATATAACTTATATTATATGAATGCACACGGGGGAAGAGGAGGAATATCCTTGTTAAAAATGTTTTCTTGATTATCCTAAAATAGTTTGCATCAAACATGAATTATGGGAACCTTCTGCCACCATAATCCCTTGCAAAAATGGTCCAAGAATGGCCATGGATGGGAACACAGACTGCAAAAAAAACACAATAGAGGTTCAGACCCCCTCCATGCTAAAATGAAACAAAAAAAAGAAAAAGATACACCTCTGCTTATACATTTCTTTTTTAATTTATTTATTAAATGCCCTGTTTGAGTAGCTCTGTTGTGCAACAGTTTTTTTTAACTTGTTTTTATTTAGTAACTCCTGCAGCCCTTTGTTTGAAAACCATATCTTAGTTTAAATTAGAATACATTTACACTTCATAACATGATTCACTAAATATGTCAGCAGAGGTTTTTTACCTGCATCATTTTCTCTTCGATCGACTTCATCGTAAACGTCCATGGCCAGCTCTTCAAAGAGTCTGTTACTGAGCTGTGAACAAACACAATGCTTGGTTAGTTTGTTGGTAATGGTGGGGAGTATACACATGTCCATCAGAAGAAAGGAGAGAGGATGGAGGAGTGCTAGATGAAGAGATAATGACAACAGGGGGAATCATCAGAGCATAGACACACTGAAAGCTCTGCAATTACATCAAGTTGGAGCAGCAAGTGATTAATGAAAAGATAAAAATGCCACTTAGAAAATCATGACAAGTGAGACAAGGAGGGAAGGTGACATGATGGAGGCTAGGTGAACAGCTCAATCAGACAAGTTATAAACATCAGCTAGCTTTCTTCTGTACATGAACATATCTCACGCTGGCTTTTTGGAATGCTGTGATCGCCATGTGATTAAATTATGGCGGGTTTGTTTTGGAGTAGACATTAACTCTGCCATTCATGTGATAAATATGCTGTATATGGCTTTTTGACTGTACACTGCTTATGTTAAAAAATGTCAGTTCTTTACTTTAGTGTGTGTCATCTATGATTGAATGCATATAATATACCTTTCCCTTTTTTTTTCTTTTTTTAGTGAGTGTATGTTCTGTTGAACTGTGTGTTTTGAGTAGGTCGGTGGTTCCCCTGTGGTTTACAGGTGCCTGGACTCTGCAAGGTTTTCTAACCAGCAAGTGACAGAGTGTTTGCAGTCCTGTAGATTACGGCTTCTGCACACATGGCATGGCACTACATACGGCGTAGCATTGGTAATGTGTTGACACCATAACAGAAATAGCCATCCAGGTGTACTCCCTCTTGAAGTGCCATTGATGAGTGTATACTATAAGAATAAGCCATGATGAATTTAATTTTGAAATATATATTTTTCTCAACAAAATCATGCTAGATATATTTATGTTGCTTTATGAACTGTTTTTTTTGGATAAAATTAATAGAAATTGTGTATCGTATCCTGAAGCAGTAGATACACAAACGTCTTCATAAGGGTTTCTCTGTATTACCTCTGTATATGTACAATTATATTTTTGGTAAAATCTAACTACTGGAAAATATAAAGGACAACTTTGCAAAATTTGGTTTTAACCGGCTGATTTGGCTAAGACTTTTATGATGTATATACAAATAAATTTGTCATTTGGTACATAATCTCATTGCTGCATATAAAGTCACTGCAGAAAAAGTATTTATCTTTTATTTAGATACAAGTGTATGTTACGGTCTTAAAGAACTTACCGCTTGCAGCTTCTTTTTGGCAGCTTTAGCAAGTTCTGACAAATCCAAACTACAAACAAAAAGTACAGATTAAACATACAAATATATATATGACAGGTAAAAGCCATCAACATGCACAGAACACTACACCAGAGAAAGCCAGGTGTATCATAGAGGTCAATACGGAACATGGCATTACAGATAAAGGTGCTATAGCACATGGGATATATATGATTAAGACATATCTTCCCACTAAAAATATAACTTCTATACATATACTATATGTGCTGTAATCAACTTTCAAAAGGATTCTTGCAGTTCTCTGCTTTATAGTGACTAGTATAGCACTATTTCAATGACTGGAGAACATATGTTTTCAGGGTCCTTTCACTAAATCACTAGAAATTATTTCAGATAGCTGTCACCAGAACAAGTGTAACCTTTATACTTGTACTAATGACAATTCAGAAATTTAGATTTTTCTTTCAGCTCTGGTGACCAGGGTGATTCACTTCAGTAGGGACACATACATCAGCAAAAATCTGACTTGAATTCTAAACCTTCACTACTCTGCCTAAAAGGAAACAATGGCTATTGGTACACCATAAGGTCTTTGTATTGGCTATAGCAATCAAATGGATGCCTTTTTTGCTTCTGCACTGTGCACTAAAAAGTAGCATGAGGGCCTTTTCACACCATATGCACTGGACAAGGCTACCCAGCACAGTGGCGTTTGCTAAAACAAAAAAAAAAAAAAAAATAGCACTTTTTGCATTTTTATGTAGTACATTGTGACGTACCACACTGCATCACAACAAGGTGGGGTGCATAAAAATGAAGAATATGTAATTTTGTGACATTTCAATAATGCTGAAAAAAAAACAGTAAACACTGTAATTATAATGCATCAGCACAAAAGAACAGAGGACACAATCAATTTTACTATTTATACTAAAAAAGTAAATATTAAACTACTAGAAACAGTCATGAGGTACATATTTTTCTGCAACTTGAATGAACTCTGAATTTTAATGTAATATTTCAGTTTTCAAAAATGCTTTCAAATTCTCTGATATCCAAGTCGGTGAACAATTCAAAATACCTTACTTTGACCAGTCTCCCTTATGACATGGCTATGACGTTTCAGTGTTGTCTGCCTTTCAATGGAATTCACCAAAGTCTTTAAAAGAGAAGTACAGCCAAAGTTTTTTCGGCTGTACTTCTCCTGTGGATCACAGGAATGCAGTTTGTACTGCACTCTTGTGACCCGCTTTCAGCTGGCAGTGGGCTGAAACCCACTGTCGGCTGACATCACTCAACCGGTCCAATCTGTGGAAATAATCCGGTCAGGATCCACCCCAGAGTCTGGAGTGGCACCTGGTTCAGCTTCTCAGTGAGCTGCTCCCTCCCCCTCCACAACCCAGCACTCCAATGACAAATAATTTTCACAAATATGCCCCTCTGAACACATCACACAGTCATAATGTACTGATCCTGATCTATATCCCTCCCTAGGCTGCATTTTCTCAATGGAGTTGAGGCTGCAAGCAATGTGGGAGAGGGTGATAAAATTAAAGTGGAACTAAAAGGCAAAACTTTTTTCCCATTTTGGACAGGAAGGGGAAGGGGAAGGGGAAGGGTTGCTAACCTATGTGCGATTTATTTTTGTCATCTGTGTCCATTGGAGAGAATTCCCTTTACTTCCTGTCCCATAGCCAAAACAGGAAGTGACAGAAAATCCCTCAAAAAGCGAGGACATCCCTGGATGTCACCAAGGTCATCAGAACTAGCATTCCCGTTGGAAGATTTCCCCACTATTCCTATTCTGGGGAAAACCCAAAATTTGGGATTTTCTTTTACAGTCACTTTAGGTGATAACTATAAACTGACCAATAAAGGGGGCATATCTCCCTAACAGAGACAGCAATAAAAATCTGACGTGTTCTAATCCCTCTCCATTCTATTAAAAAAAAACTGCCTTTAGTTATACTTTAAGAATTTAGGTACTTATGAAAATTTTTAGTTAAATAAATTTGGGGGCACGTACTGTATATATTTAGTATTATGTCCCCTTCCAGAATTTTGAGTTATTTGTAAAGTGTTACTAAACCCAGAACAGTAAAATCAGTTTGTATATACAGTAAGCATGTTTGTTATAATTACTGTGGAACCTAAGGGTTTAATCCTCTGCACTGTGTAAAAACACTGTTTGATCCTGACTTCTCTGATCCTCCCCTTCTTATCCCCTGATAAGATATACGGTGTGGAATCCCTCTGCACATGCGAAGTTTAGTGTGTACTGCAAGAGGGTTTTTTTTTTTCTTGGGAGAGTGCTTGTGATCAGCACAAAGCCAATCAGCACTGTCCAGACAGATCAGGGGCTCTGCATCCTCCTAGAGCAAAATGAAAACTCCTACAAGATTTAACATGTGCTCAGCTGAACACTGACAGAATTCACAACTCACAAGACTTCTCTAACTGCTGATGAGAAAAGGTATTTAGCAGTTTATATTTACTAAAATAATTGCACTCCCATGTTCTGTGTACTGCGGGAGACCAGATATAGTGATTGCAGGGTATTTGGTTTAGTAACACTTTAATAGCTCAAAAACAAAGATGCAATATTACATAATTTAGGATGGTAAAATGGTTTTATAATGGTGTTTCTGGGGAAACTACATATCTGCTCAAGGCTTTTAGTTGAGAGTACAAATATTCAAAACATGCAAATGCACATGCCATATATTCTCATCTCCACCTAAAGTAGGAACCCTGCTGTGAATATCAGGGCTTCACCGTACCAGCCAGGTTTTCTTTTTTTGGGGGGGGGGGGGGTTGCCAGTAAGCTATCGTTACCCCAAACACAGCACATCTGGAATTGCTGCAGTGTACATACACATATGCTCGTAGAAAACACTCAGATGTAGATAAAGGATTGCAATGCTGAAAGCTCTTTTCCATAATCGATGCACATATACACATGACTGCCCTCTTTAGTCCACGAACACTTAAATAAAACATAAAATGTCAACTGTAGGACTGTAAGTGTCCCACCCACCCAATAAATATGTGCACAGGCTTGCACACTGGCATCACTCAAGCATACTTGTCTATGCATTGAACAGACACACCCTGGACCTGCTTTCAACAAAGTAAGATAAAGAAATTCCAACAAAGCCAATCAACTGTTCCCTAAGAATGATCAGCCAGCGGTGTAGCTAAAGTTGTAACAATTACTGCCTGATCTAACTGACACTGTCCACAAGTTCCTTAAGATTGAAGCTATGCACAGCAGGTAATTAGAATAGCTGTAAGGATGGGCTACATACCTTGAAGACATCCTCAAAACACTTGATCTGCTAAGATATAACTGGCCTCTGTGGCCAACTCTTCAGGCCTGACCCATGTCTTACATTTGATAAGGCCAAACAACGCATGCATGGGTATTGTACATAGTGAGGGGTGGCAGACTGGCAGACCTGAGTGATCAACCTCAGAAGGAAGGCAGCTGAAATTTGAAAGCCATGGTTTGGGCTATCCAGGACACTCTAAGGGCTCATTCACATAGGCAGCAGTCTCTATTGGCAACCATTGGGGTTGATTTACTAAAGGCAAATATTATGTGCACTGCAAGTGCAGTTGCTGTAGATCTGAGCGCAGGAAAATAACAAAAATAAAAAAACAGCATTTTTGCTTGAACATGATTGGATGACAGAAATCAGCAGAGCTTCCCCTCAGATCTAGCACAACTGTACATACAGTACACGTATAATGCACTTGCAGTGTACAGACTATTTACCTTTAGAAAATCAAGCCCATTGTTTTTTTTTTTTTTTTTGCAATCCAAATAGGCATTTTACATAGAATGCTCTGCAACACCATGGCTGCATTTTGGGTGCTGTCCCATTGACCTAAATGGGTGAGACCTGTAATGTAGGTTCCTAAATGTACTTACCATAGATTAAAGGCAAAAGATTAGAAAGTTCTTTAAAAGGTAACTTCAACAAGCTACACAGAGTAAGGTTCTATGTACCCGACAGCATTTACTGTAACAAATACATAAGCTTTTGTGATTCACCAGTTCCAGCTCTGTTATAAGACTGCCCTGACTGCCTCCTATGACCTTGTTCACTCAGGCATATATCCATGTGAGGGCAATGTTTGCTCATACAGGATGCACAGATGCTCCATGAATTCATGTGCAGGCAGTTCCATTTATGTCCATTGCAATGCAACAGCTGCATGGACAGAGCCACTGCTCCCAATCTGACATCAGTGTGGGTGTGCGTACCTGAACACACACTGCCTGCAGTCAGGGACACACAATCATACCAACACGGATGTCGAATTAAGGACAGGAGCTGTGTCCATGTGGCCACTACATCCCAATTGACATGAATAGGACTGCATTCAAGTAAGATGCATGGAACACCTGTACAGGCAAACATGGCCTTCACATGGGCGTAAGCTTAGGTATACCTGTGTGAACGAGGCCTTTTTCTTATTGGGCTACTATTGCAGATCATACAACTGTGATATCCACCCTGGGCTCTCTACCTCCTGTAATCAGTATATAAAGTATACATTGATCAGTATATAAAGTAGGCCTTCCCCACTGCAAACCAGATTTCAAATTTCAACAGCCTAAACCCAGGACAAAAGAATGAGAGTACTAGAGGTCATTGTCTGGAAAAAGTCACAGTACCTCTGAGGCACACCCCTGGGGCGAGTTCTGCATCCAATGCAGCACAAGGGAGAACAGGAGAAAGACATGAGGTTAGACAGCAAGACATTGACAGATATAAAGACAGAAAGAGAAAATCATCTCAGTAATGCAAAGGGCCATGATCATACAAACTGTGTAAGCACTTTCAAACATAGTATAGATGCCAAATATTTACAGAGTGGAAAACAGTAAAGTGTGAAAAACAGTAAAATGTGTTTTACAATCAACACAACAGACTAGAGGCTATGTAGCGCAGTCTGCATCTCATCTTTGGATCTTCTTCTGAGTCGCACCGCAGTAATCATACACAGAGCTTGTTACCAATAAAGCAAATGAACCAATTA